CTCTCGAATATCGGTGACGTAACCCTAAAAGTAGTGCATATTATAGTTGCGGTACTACAGAGTTTAAGACTGCTTCCTTGCATTACACCTAAATTGAACCTACCTTCCGAACGTTGACACCGTAATCAGAATTTCCATTGGCGTGCTGTGCACGCAATTCGGTAACAGTATGAATGGGAGAGAGACCAGCATTCTCCGCGAGTGTATATGGCACCTGAAAAGCCGAACATGATTTACAAACCAAAAAAAAAACATGGAGGAAAGAATTCATTCATGTGATTCAACCCCAACAATAATTATCCTTGAGTAGCTCAGTGTGCTATAACACATTTCTCATGCCTTTAAATTCAAAAGACACCGAGATACAACTGCCGTAATGCCTTCCATCTCACCTCAATACTTCATTTCCGAACATGAAACACTTACAAAAAACGCCAACAGTCATGCAGAGTAACGCAATTCTTCCCTTACACCAAGCCCACTTACAGGCTAGACCAATTCGAAGATGGGCTGACAAAAGAGCACCTACCAACTCCAAAGCATCCGCGAATGCTCGCCAGCAATACTGTTGAGCCCCATGTTGTTTTTGAGCTAATTGGCGCAGTCGAATTGCCACTTCCATTTCTGGAGCACCTCCTCCTTAAAATTTAAAATTAAAAATGAAAAGAGCGCACATTTTCAATTAAGTTTTAACCTGGAAGAAGCGCCCTTTTCTTGACTAGGCAACGAATGACACAGAGCGCATCATGGAGAGAGCGTTCGGCCTCTTCAAGGACTAACTTGTTGGAACCACGCAGCAGAATGGAGCAAGCCTGCCCCGGATTTGCTACGCCCGTGACCTGAAACGCAGGGTTTGCAAGTAAAGATCATATGAAAAACTTCTAAGATCACTTCAGAAGCAGTATTTTTGAACATACCTTGATAACCTTTCCATCGCCTCCACAGGAGATCTCCTCAACGAGATCTGCACTTCCGAGTGCCTCGGGTACGAAGTGATCCACAGATGCGACAGGGCGGCATCCGAGAATCTGTAATTTTTCAAACTTTCATCTTTGACATTATTCTGATGGCCTTTCAACTATTTGCTCATAAAAGACTCAGTGACTCAAAACCGGATCAGGGTTTTTTGAAATATTTCTGAGCAATCACTATGAGAATGGTCAAAGACTATAAAGCGTCTTCGAAAGAACCTTGCAGCATGGGACGTTACAACGTAATTTAAACCTACTGATTGAACCTATGTCTACCCGGCTTAAAATGATGGAATTCCTGGGATTACAATGAGGTTTTGAAAACATATGAACAAAACGAAGCATCATCATCACCTATAGCAGGCAATAAGCGCATCCAAGAGCCTACTGCGCGTCGAATGTGGCGCACGATGAAACCGTTAATTTACTTTCCAAACACCCTGCTAAGAAATGTTGAGCTTTTTGTTGTAGTATTGTTTCGTATGTTTTGGGTTTCTCTCGAGTGCCTTAGGTAGCTAAGATGAAAGTATAAAACAAAGAATATTGACTTCTTCGGAAGTAAACAGCTCAGAAATAAATCAAACACTTGTTGCATATGTAAATAATTATTGCAAAATTGAAAAAGACGGAGTTGTAATTGAGACCGAAAACCTAAACCACATTGAGACGAACTTACAATACTAGGATGTTTTGAAGCGGATTAAACATAGAAACAAAGTTACCTTAAGAACAAGAAGTTATGAAAATCAATACGGAACACGTAAACAAACCTTCGAGTAGAACTCGATGTCCTCACGCTCAATATCCTTTATCACCATGATTTTCATTTTAGCGAGGAAATGTAGTGACAGTTCATTAACAGCGTCCCTTCAAACGAAAACCGTGATGGAAACGGAACTCGTTCGTAAAAGTACTGCATTCACGAAATAATAAACCTGAGAGAATACTCTCGAATTAATAGAACATTGCACCCACCTTCTTAATTTGCTTGCACAGGATCAAGCAAATACTGGCGTTCTTCCTTGAGAGCACGATCCATTTGCGTATAATCGGAGATTATTACCTGGTTTTCCATCTGAAAAGCTAGTGATATAAACGACATGGGAAAAGAATTGAAAAATTCTTACATCTGTTTTAGGTGGGCTAAGTTGAAATTGAATAAGGCCAATTTTAGCTTTTTCCACGCGAGTGCGCCTCCACGTCATTGTCTTTTGATCAATCAGATCCATCATCATGTCAAGACTCCTGGATACACACAGACCTACGATTATTGCTCCAAATCTTCCTTAAGATATAATCGAAACATGCAGTAGTCACCTCCACGGTATCCCCCATCTTCTTAATTATCTTGATCATTTTCAAATTCACAGAAGTGTCGCGAGTGGGGTCGATGATACGCTTCACGGCATTCACTGCCATTGGCGCTAGTAGCCATGAATGCTGAGAGACAACCTGAAAATCAAAATTTTGCCTAAACGATTTAGCATCCTGTTGACGAGAAAGTAACGGCCGGGAAAACGGCACCAGCGAAATGCAAACTTCTCTAATGTGCGGTAAAATTGCGTAAAGTGGGCAGATGAAGGCACTTCTCGCGATGTGAAGGGCGGTACGATTTTAATGACGTCAGTGGACGTTAAAGATGACTAGATTCCTCACAAAAGAGGTCGTTCAGGGCAATTTATGATTTTTCAAAACAGTTTTTAACATACTGTAAGAACTCCCACGAGCACTACAAAACGAGGTCCACTATCGCCGAGCGGTCCTCTCACCCAACCTACCCTTTCCCGAGTTGAGTCAAAATCACGATTTTCTCTACAAGTTTGCCTGTAGAGGTAAGTCAGGGCCTCATCGCAAATATGACGTTCGACCTTGGCGCCAGCGCCAGACTGGCGCTACGAATTTATTCGACTGCTTTCGAGCACAAAACCCACTTCTAGAGATTACTGATGGCTCTGATTTTGAACATTACACCTATTTTGCGCAAAATCGATTTGGAGTTGGAGGTGGCAACCAATAAATGCAAAATTGTGCAAGGGAGTGGAGTCAAACCACATACTCTCCCCTTTAGCTGCCATTGGAGGTCTGCAATCCACCCAACCACCAAACCACTGCGAGCAGCTGGATGCTAACGGCCCTTACGAAGCCTCTACCCCTTTTTTAGTACGCACCATTGGCAGCACTTCACTTCTGAGCAAATTTCTCGTTGTTTTCGATATCGTCGTTTGAGGCACCTAATATGCGAGGAATCGTCGCTGTTGTTCCTATACGACTTCGTCTCCAAAGCCGTGAATGCACTCACTCTGAACAATTTTTTTTACGATCATGCGATTTTTCGACCTTTAGGTGCACTAGTAGTGAGAGCCAATACAGCATGCAAAAAACCCTTCCAGAAGAACGTTTCACACCCTGAACGACCTTCGTTGTCAGCGCGCTGGGAGTGGAGGGGAGGCGTTGGTACCGCTCCTCAACGCCCGTCCATCAAAGGGTTTCGATGACATCTTTGAAAGCAACGCCTTTCAAAAATCGAGACCAATACCAAATACTGCGCACTGTAATGATAATTCAAAACAATCGCAAACCTTGGAGTTCAGCGAAGTCGTGGCCATTTTTACTAGCAGCTCTTCGTTGCTGAGATCAACGGGAGAACTCATTCCTTCCAATACTTTAACGGCTTGTTCGGCAGCAGCTTGGAACGACTCAGAAATGGTAGTGGGATGAATTCCTAAACGAAGAATGTATAAAAGAATCTAGCACTCATCCTCCACTAAATAACTATACATGAGTTAGAACATTCACGCCTACCCTTTTCGAGCAAAGACTGAGCAGCATCCAAAAGTGCACCAGCAATAACCACCACAGTAGTCGTTCCATCACCAGCTTCAATATCTTGAGCCTTAGAGAGCTCGACGAGCTGAAATAACGAAATGTAGCACGGTGAAAACAATAGTCGGA